ATTTCTCTTGAGTATTGGCACGTAATTTTGAATAAATTTTAATCCTTTTAAATAAAATTACAAAAAAAAAAGAAATTCAGCGTATTAATGCGATTAAAAGAGTAAATTAGTGAACTTTTAGATGGAATTCAATTCCTATTCTTACTCATTATCCACTCTTTTTTCACATTTTGAATGGAGAACTCATGACTCAATCATTATTCGAAAAGAAAGAAGAAAGGAACATTTTTTTAGTTTTTTAGTATTAAATCTTGAGTGATTCTCGGAGGTAAATGATTTCTTTTTCTTTATAATAAATTTAAATATAATTTGTTAATCATGACAGTTATTATAGGATAAAAGGATTTAAGGATAGTTCACTGGATAAAATCAAGGAATAATAATCAAAGCCAGGCGGTTTGAATTAGGCATTTTAACTATTAATCTGACGAGTTCGACCAGCTGGAGACGATAATTACGTCAGAGAGGCGTCAAATGTAACGGATACTTTTTTATCAAATATAACGGTCTTCTTGTTTTTCTAATATTGTATTCCATAACTGCCTACTATAATAATTTCAAGTTGAAAGACATTTCTATGTAATTTACAATATCAAAGATCGATCATAATTGTTAAGAATGTTTCATTATACATGCTGCTTTGTAACAATGATTCTTTCTTAACTAGATACATATATGTGATCTGACGAAGAATTATACTGATGCAGAAGATAAATGGCTCGATTAGTCAGCTTCAGCAAAGAAATTCTCTTTGCTTCTTCTCTTTTTCTTTCGTCTCAAAGATAGTTTGATAATCGAATGATAAATTTCAGACAAAATGCTGCTTTATTCAAGATATAACTTCAAAGATGGCTTGTGTAATTGGATAAATCTTCAAGGAAGTCCACTGAATTAGATTTTTCATCCTGATTTAACATAAAAGGAAAAAACAACGATACTTTCCGATCATATCTATCCCGATAAAACGGGTTATTCTTTGTTGATTTATCGAAACACAATAAGTTAATTTAAATAGTAGTTAATTTAAAAACATAATAGCTAATAATAATTAATATTAATCATAGTAGTTAATTTAAATCTTTTCAAAAATACTGTTACGTAAAATCACGCGTTTGAACCTAAATAAACTTTAATAATAAAAAAAAGAACTACTTATGTACAATTAACAGCTTTATGAACTCTCTTAAAAAAATATATAAATATTTCGGAATGTTTATGAGTCACATTCTCTCAGATTTTCAAAATTGAAAATCGACGACAACCCGTTATTATAACTCAAATTCTCTCGATGCCTAGAAACGGCCTACTAGTTCCGAGCTTAATCCGACTTCCTCTAGGTTGGCTGGTAACAATACTTAATCATTTGATAGTTCTATTCTAAGATTCTTCTATTATATAAATATAGTAACAGGAATAGAATATGGTAGTTAAAGTATACTACAGGCTACTGTTTTTTTGATCATTATTACGATGTACAGAGAAGTTCTTTCGGATTATACTTGGTTCAAGTAAAACCGTATCAAAATAATTTAAAACTATTATGATGATAAAAACGACGATTAGGATAGCCAGTCAGTTTATCTTCCCGAAATCAAATATAGATACGCAATAGAGGCATAGTAAAGATAAGATTAACATGATACGAGTTAATATTTATATTCCAGGTATTTTTTGCAATTTGCGGCAAATAAAGAACATATTTTAAAAAGTCATACAATTATTGATGATATTCCTCTTAGTCTAGGATGGTTCGGTATACTTAAGCTATAAATACTACGGGATGGGCCAAAAATTCCTAAGCTTGCAATGTCACAATCTAAAAAAAATTAATTTAAAAAATCTTGAGAAAAAGTAATCGATTTTTAAATTGGTTAGAAATTTTCGATGCAATCTTTATCTATTTATTTTCTTTATTTTCATACTATTCATATTGAAATATTTACGAGTACTACGAGAAGTTGCTGAAACTTTTGATTATTATAATTCTATAATAAAGTCTGAAAGAATACCAAAGCAGTACGCTGATTTCGTTAATGAAACGGATGAAATCGAAGTAGATGGTTTTAAATCAACCATTTTTTGACATTTCATTTTAAATAGATATTTTTTTCATATTTTCTTAATCATCACTTCTTGTGGTGCTACTGACACCAACATACTGACATATCTGACTTTAAAATAATATATGGAGGAAAATAATAGGGCTAACGTCGAGTTGGTTAAAATATCATCAGGAAGACTGTTTTTAATCTAACTAAAATTCAGATGTGAATTGCATGTGGATATTATAGTCAGAAGCTCTGCTGTATATCGTTAAGTAAGTAAAATACATTTCTTTATCCATGTAATCTTATTTCCTTTTTTTAATAATGTAATTGGAATGGGTGCATGTGGTATGGGGGGTTGCTGCCAGTATGGGAAATATATTGGGTGCACTTATTTGAAGTATCATTAAACTAAAAAAGTTTATTTTATATTTGGATAGTCTGAAATTGACGCGTATCCTAAGCTAAACATTTACTAAAATTTCATTAAATTCTTCTTATATCATTTCTCCGTAACATTCAGTTGATAAAGTCTAACAATAAGTTATTCATTGTTTATTGGGATTAAATGATATGATCGAAATATAAGAATAATAATGTGATACAGTATAATAATAAATCGTAATCATTTAATACATCCATATACTTTTTTCATATGAAATAAATAAATATAAAGCGTTTTCAAATAGTCAAAATGGCAAAAAACTTAACCAATTTGCAGAATTAGAAAATGGAAACGAAGGAGAATCAAGTTCTATTCGATGGACTATCAGAGGCAGGCAGTATGCCATCAAATGATAAAAATAGAGGTAATAAATGGTGGAGATGGCGCTACCTATATCTTCATTATAAGTAAATGATCAAATGCGACGAGATTAAACGCGATACAATTTTAATTAAAATTATTAAAATAGTGTTGGATTAAGACTAGGTGTATGAAAATCCGTGGATAATGATAGAAAATATGCTGCTACACCTGAAAAATCATCTAATTCTGATGATTACTGAAAATACAAGTATTGCGATTGACAAATGATATTAAGTTAAATGTGCTGAAAATATTCATTTTCTTTAACGATATAAATTTGATTCGAACATTGAATTTTGGTGATGATTGAAAAGTTCGAACAGTATATTACAAATAACATCTGAGATTTTTTTGGCTTGTGGAGAAAAAATGCTGTCTGTAGTAAAGAAAGTTACATTAATGACAGATTTGTCGGAGGTGGTGGTAGGGGCAAAGGTTATATAGGTAAAGGTAACTAGCAACTCCTTACTAGCTAATTTCCTTTTATGATTCTTAAGATATAAATACAGACTTGAATAGAATCAATATATATTTAAAAACTCTTAATTTTCATTTAGATTAACAGATTCGGAGAATTTTCTTACAAATATAAATTATTTCGAAGTATTGCTATCTTATTTTTAATATCATGTAGGAGGGCGTACACTTTTGGTAATGTCGAAGATGAGTATTTTTACGTTTCACCTGCTTTATTACACGTTTACTTTCAATCTGGACCTGGACCTGGATCTAGTAAAGTTTGCATAATATCTAGTTATGTTTGTGATTTTCTTTGCGTTGCTTTCGATCAATATCTAAATGAAATAAAAGATCTCTGTCCATTAAATATGTTCTCAAGCGTGATTCCAAATCCTGTATCAATAAGTAATGTATTATTAATATTTAATTATCATTAATGTGGGATGAAAGATTCTAGCATTAGTTGTGTGTGTATATGCGTATGAGATAAATCGATCGGCAGTTGAATAAAAGATGGAAGGTTCTAGCGTTAATTAGATGTGTGTGTGTGTATGTGTATGAGACGGTAGAACGAAAGTATGATCTGCTCTTTATGAGATATTTGTTTATGGAAGAAAAAGAGGGGGCTAAGATATTGGAGGTGAGAATGAGATGAAAGTGTTGCATGAATGAGATAGGCAACAAAGCAATAAGAGAGACAAAGTAACGAATAGAACAAAAAACGGTAGGAATTATCGAATGCATATGCACAAATATGAGTGGAAATGAGAAAGGCTACGCGGCAGATGTAAAAAAAATAACAACAGAGGACAATCTTGAGTAGATCAAGTAAAAAGTAATGAAAAAAGGTCCTGAGTGGACCAAACGCAGAGTAAAGAACAATCATGAGAAAAACGATCTAAGAGTAGAGAATTGTAACTATTGTAATACATTAATTAATAAAATGCTTATTAATTAAGAGTAAATAATCCAAGTTTCGCTAGTCTATATCTCCCAGGCAGAAAAAATTATCCTAGATTAATATATAATAATTATTATTAGAAATAAATATTTTTTAATGAAAATTTATGTTTATTGTAGTACTTATTGACTCAAAAGTTTTTTATGATTTAATTGATATAATCATTAGTACGATTTTATTATTAGCTTTCATTGAATTTTGTCTGCTGCTTTGTAAGCGATCAAATCCTTTTTTCAAAAATGAAAATCGATATATTATAATATCTGATCTTCATAAATTTTATCTCGTAAACAATCGCTGTCAGAATTGAAAGTCTTTTTTATGACTTCGTCAAGTGACGATCGGAAACGATATAGAATTGATCAAGATAGCTTTAGAACTTATCTCAAACACGATGATGATTGAGTTTAATCCGAATTATGAGAACTAATAGAATTTTATTGATTTATTTCAGATTCCACGAGAATATATATATATCTCTTTAGTGAAGTTAGTATTTTATTCTTTTGAATAAAAGAGATGAAAGAATTTTCAAAAACTAAATAAATTTATGATACAAGTAGACCACTTAGACAAGGTACTTTCGGCGTAGTCTTTCAAGATATAACAAGAATCATCCGGTAGCTGTTAAAACTCTACCCTCCTTGGCAATATCCCAAGTCGAAGTTGATTTCATGATGGAAGGCAGCCGTCCCAACATAGTACATTTTATCGGAGTCTTTTTCGACAGGCATTCAAAATATATCGTATTAGAATTATTAATTGGTAGTGATTTGAATTATTTTTTTCGAGAAAAAATACCAAGTCCTGTGAGTTAGTCTCTAATTTATACCTATGTGACAAGAAAAATGGAAATGAACTATTTATTTATTCACGTCCGGGATTATAATCATCAGGAGCTTTCTACCACGTTAACTATGTATGATCAGCCTTACAACAATAGTTGTAAGTACATGAAAGAGACACTTGCATGTTGAAGACACAATTACAAACTTTGGTATGGCTAGAAATATTTACAGAAGTGATTATTACATAAAAGTATATATTAAATTTGTAAAGTAATATATTAAATTCATATATATATATATATTTATAAATATATATATATATATATATATATATTTTATTTATAAATATATATATATATATATTTATAAATAAAACTTTATATCAGACTTTAGATTTTCAAGATTAATGTTACGGAATCATTGTAATAAACGATCATTAGTCGTAAGTTTATACTATCTGACTTTTGCAGATATAACTAATAAATGATGTGATGATTTTAATTTGAATGGCTTTCGGTGTTCTTCTCTGAGAAGTGATGTCTTTTGGATATATGCCATATACCGGTTGTGTTAATCGGAAGGTAATATCAATGATCAATGATTGAAGGTAATATCAACATCTGTTGATCATTTGAAAAAGCTAGCCGGTTGTCTCGATTCAATTTATAGCCTAATAACACGTTGTTGGCATCAACGTCCGGAAGATCGGCCTAGTTTTACGACCACTATCGAAAGAATTGATTATTTTGTGCATATAGAATGTATTTTTAAGAAATTGAATTATTCAAATGACTTATTAAAAATTAATTATAACGTAGAATTTCTTTTTATAATTTATAGAGTCTTTTATTCATTATAATCTCGTCTTAATAAACCATGCAACACCGAATTATAACATTTTATCAATTTGAGATCGTAAAATAACAATTATGAGATTGGATTCTGAAACAGAATGTATCAATGTACATTTAAATGTAGGTTAATTAAATAATATATAATTTGTTTAAACAAAAAATATATATTCATTGTTTGGCATCATTAAATAAATAAAAAATACAAAATTCTATCGATTTTTTTATAGACTGCTTTGATTGATGGTCACGTGCAGCAAAGAAAGATAGAATTTCGTTCGTGATTTATCGCATTGAATAAGATCTCGTTTTAAAGATGGAGTTTTAAAAGAGCAGATGACTTTTTAGAATTTTTGAAGAAGATATATTTTCTTTGAAAAACATGGCATTAAAAAATCATGTTTTTCGGATTTTCTATGCATAAAAAAGCTTTTTCTAATATTAAAAAAAATATTCTCCTTGTTTAAACCTTCATTTTTTGTTCATTATAATCGATCAATAATTATTCATTATTAGTGAAAACGATGCTTTCAATATTTTTCGTGAAAAATAAGTTTTGTATAAAAATGTCTCTTAATATCTGCGATAAAAGAAAATAAATTCATACCTCCATTACTAAATTTTCATATGCATGCTTAAATAATGTTTTTCTTCTATGAAATAAACGATTGTTTACTTGTATGTGTGCGTAAAATGATTCTTAGATTTTTTAATCCATTTCAAAAGCAAGAAAACGCATTTTGCAATGTTACATGTAGAAACTACGATAACTTACCCGAGAATTTTAATGAGCTTTGGATAGATGACTCTTTGATAAAAATAAAAAAATTCGTGTTCAGTTGTTTATGCTAATGGGTCTTAATTTCTGAAATGTTATTAAATTTTAGAAATATGCATAATTTCCTTTATACTTTATATACTTGAGACATAATAAAGTAATGTTTTAGTAGAATAGAAAATATCTATAGATTTATGATTAAATAATCTTAGGTTTGAGGCTGAATGATATTGAAAATTTTTTTTTATTAAATCAATATAAACGAACATAATCAACTAATTTATTCTTTTCAAAAAAATCATAATATGAGTTCTTTTTCACACTATTAATCTGCCAGAGTTCTCAAAGCTACTTTTTGTATAGTTTAAATGATATATATATCATTTAACAAAACAAAGTTTGATACATTCAATTTACACTAGTTAGTATCTCACAATGATTTCTGTTTTCCATTTTGGCTGCAATCCATGTATCACTTCGCGTAATGGCTTTACGCATGAATTCTCAAATCGTGTTTTCATCTACAGATAGGTATACTTAACACTAATGAGACACGATGACAAACACGAATTGTTCCTTTTGTTTTCGTCTGTTTTCATTTCTCCTCGTCTTTCTATCTTTCAATTATATCAACAGTTCGTAATGCTCGCATTTATTATTATTCCGATTTTTGTTATATCGATTTTATTATTTTTACAATTTAGGATTTAATTTTATTGATCTTATAAAATTATAATTTGTATGAAATACTAAATCGATATAAAGAAAAAGTGAGATTTCATTAATAATTAGTCATTTTTACCGTCTTGTCTGAAACAGATAAATGTAACAAAAATTTATCTTTTTCTAAGCGATTCCAAAGAAGAAGTCGTCGTCGGCCCATATGCGGACTCACTTTATTTTGGGAACTTGGAAAAACCCAATAACCAACGAAAAGGTTATAGCTAATATCTATTATTCAAACGCGTACTAAATTTTCCGAAAATAAAGGAATGTTCAGATAAAACATTTTATATTTTTCATCTATTCGTAAATAAGATCATCAATCAATAAAAATAAATAGTCGTGAATAAGATATTCTTATGATCATCAATTCTGGTTTTCTGAATTGTAACACGCAACTATTGATTTTAATATTATAATATAGAATGTTTATAATGTATATAATATTTTTAATTAACAATAGCTTTTATACTACATAACTTTTATTTGGAACCAGTAAATGAATTTTTTGACATTAGAATGATAGAAAACATTATTCTGCGGTCGTTTAAATCACTTTGCATCAAGGCATTACTGTCAAAATGACAGAATATCTTTCCACATTTTATCTTGTCAAAAAGATAACACTACCACCAAGGAAGAATATAAATATAACAGAGTGAAAAGTACGTTCACAGAGCCTACTAACGTTATCTGTCTGATTCTATTATCGAGATATTTAATTTTAAATGTCTGTCTGACGTAAGCCGTAATTTCCTGATTCGCATTCAAATCGAGAGATGCTATAAGTCGAGAAATACTATAGGAGAAATTTAAGATATACAATTAAATGAGTTTCGCAGAAACGCGTCGATTTAGAACTAGATTGGAAATATCGATATTAGAAATTCCGAGGTTTTCATTTTTAAATGTACCGCCAGATATTTGCAGAAATTTACTAATCGTTATAATTCTGATTCACTGAGAATCATTGTCTTCAAGTCCAATATCCATATTACGTAAATACGTAAGATTAAGCTTTTGAAACCAGAATTTCATTGGAATCACGTAAAGCATTAGAACTTTTGTCCACTTTTTATGTCATTTTTTTTTCATCGAACATCTCGAGCACATCGAATGCAAGAAACAGAAATTGCCGATAAAATCGATAAATTATTGTGATCATTGGCCAAATCAGTGAAAGATCTTATGTTCGAAAAGCTCTTGGGCATTATATTTAAATTTTTCAATTAGAACAATGATTATATCACTTACATGATTAGTAAATGGTAGAATAGTTCGGATTTCCGGAGTCAACGATCGATCAAAATACCATGGACCTTCCTTCAATAGATATATTTTCCTCACTGCCGAGACTTCTCAAGTTTTCATGGAAAAGAGTTGCGCCAAGAAGCAAAATACTCGCCACTCTTTCATATAGTTTATTTTTAAAATTCAAATTGGAAAGCTGGTGTTGGCTCTCCTTTAGAAAGAGGAGCCAACATGAAATAATTCATAGTATTTCTTAACACATTTTGCGCCGCATCTATAGGACTTGCTTAACCATCGACGATAATTTTTATTTTTTGATTTATAATTGCATTTTAGAAAAATTGTTATAACTGAAAAAGTACTCAATATTTTGGTTTGAAATTTTAGCAAATTGAAAAACATATTTTTACGTAATCGATGGTTAAATGGCAATATGAAAAGGACGTACTTTTACGTGACCAGTGCAAAATGTGTTAACGTATAAATTCAATAATATATTTAAATAGAACAATCTTCATATGAAGACGTCATAAGAACATATGTCAAGATCAAGGTCAAAGTCATCGGAGGTGTCTTTCTTCATCTTTACTCAATTTTCAAATCTACTGTGACAGCACAATATTAATAGGTTCATATACTTCACTAGTTTAAGACCGAATGATCACTATCAATTGCCACTAACTATGTGCAATTGATTGATGATGCATTTTAAATATATTTTTTTAAAGGACAAAACATATTTTAGAAGAATGTTCCGCCTTCTGTGCTTACTTTTTTCAACTATCGTTACAGCCCTCACAACAGATAAAAAAGGAAAATCCGCCCTTGATAAAAATAATCGAGAAAGGTTCTTTATAAACAAATATTTATAACAATTCGTCATTGCATACGCAAGCCGGCAGAAACTCAAAATTGCTGACTATAAATATTTTATCTGGCCAACGCTTTCGGTAAATGAATATTATTTAGTTTCTTAAAAATGTACGTTTTTAGATAGTACTAACGAACTTATTATAAAACATGTGATTCTCCGACGTTGATCAGTTATTAAAAATTACTCCATAAACGAAAGTCATTTACTTCCGGCATGATTTTTGATAGATAAAAGACTTTGAAAAAATATGAAAATATTCATATCTTCAAAACTTCTAAATTCAGATAAGATTTAAGCAACAATTTGTTTAAATATATTATTAATATAAGATATTAATATAAGACGTAATCACACTTTTCAAATTTGCTCATACATTAAAAACATTGTTTTACAAATTGAGGTACAAGATTTTGATTAACGAAAAATTAAAAAATAATAACGAAAGATTAAATAAATTTGACGAGCGAATTCAGCGACTCGAATTTGCCAGTATAGTAACAACCGTCGAACAGAATATATTTCGAGGAGATAATTATAATAAGTTGTCCCGGACCTCTTGAAGACTATATCCGGCAAAGTAAAACGTGCAACTTATGCTCTATCTCACTCCTATCTCTCTGCCTCTCTCATGCCGTTCTCTTTTTCATTTCGTTTCCATTTAACCTTTTTTCGTTTTAATTTATTCCTGTTTCATCTTCTTATCAACTTATACTCGCTATTCTAGAGGCCTAGATTTATAAGAGCGCAATCGAAATTCTGAGGAAAAATAAACGACAAAGATTAAAGAAAAATAGATAAAGAAAAACAAAATACGAATTGAAAAAGGATTGAACTTATAATGCATGTTACGACACTTTCAATTATGAAGACTTCATTTCGATTTTCAATGTTTCGATTTTTCACTAATGAGCGAACGAACGGCATCATCGATTGTATAAATATAATATATCTGTATAAGTACACCTTTGTTATAAATATACTTATATAGACATTTAAGATATCTCGTTCTTTTTAGTTAACTCACTACTAGGCTCATACTATAAAAATTTCATTTCCAAAAATTGTTTTATAAAATAAGTAATGAACATGTAACGGTATAAGATTCGATATATTGCAATGATCACAGAAAGAGTCCATTGTTGCTATTATTAACTACGAAAGTGATACTCATAGACTCGTGAAGTCATAATTTATCGAAATTTTCAAGACTTGAAACTTGGAAATCGATATTTCCTTATTGTAACTATACTAATGCCGTCATTCTTGGAGATAGAAGATAATCGATTAATTATTAACAATCTATTAGAAAATTAACAGAACGATTCTGGCATATGTGACATTTTAATTATCTCAAATCCTTTTAATGACAAATAGCAGAACTATAATTCGAATGTACGAATTTAAGCGAGTTATTACTTATCAAAAACGCAGAATATTTGCCTTCTCAGTAAGAGCTCAAAAGAGTATTCCAGTTCACTCCGGAAATTGATTAATTCGAGTCATCGAAGTTAGAACTGATAGTATGGTGCTCACTCACCGAATCATGCGATTGTATCATCTGCGAGACATACGCGCTTGAAGCATCAAGGAAGTATTAATACTAGTTAAACTCTTATTTTTGTGACATTTGTTTTATTCCATTAACGTGTAAAGGTGATTAATTAAGAAAGCTTAATCAAATATTAAGAAGATTTATTGTAGAGCAAAACTGTTGAGTCAACCGAGTACATTCCGTTCGTTAGTTCGTTAGTAAACATCACCGAGACCAGTGATCAAAAAATCAGATATAAATACGCAATAAACGGATAATAAGATTAGTATGATACGAATTAATATTTACATTTCATGTATTTTTTGCAATTATTATCATCATTAATTTTGCAATTAATATGGTAGGGAAATAGTTAGTGAAGTGAGTTCACATATTTCACATAAACGTTTCTTTTCCTGTGTTTAGTGACGCGTTGTATATTTTTGATTTATATTCTAATAATTATTGTATCGTTTTCTATTAAATCTTATATTAATTTTAAATGATATTAATTAACAGAATTAATAAAGCTGAACAAATTTACAATTATTACACGATTATTGTAATATTTATATTATTTACGCAACAACTGACAAGGATGCAGTAGCAATTTATGCTACAATCAGGTAACAATTGGTGATACAATCACTGTAAGTGTTCTTAACGCTTTGAAAATACTTGTCTCAAGGTTAATGCTATTATCTATTGAAGTAAAATAGCAATACAAAGCACTTTTCAAATATGTTCAATTGCTGATAATAGATAAAATCAGTATAGTCATTCCTGAATTGTTGTTATATGTTGATTCAAGGGTTAAACAAATCTTCGACAATTACGATTCAAATTTTAACAGAATAAAGATCATTATTATAGGCAACAATTGCTTCCCGTTGGAGCAATTTCAATTTATAAACAAATCGCTAACAGTACTTTACTAGGTGTAAATTAAAATTTTTCGAGTTGGATAATAATATGTCTACAAAAATGTTATATAAAGAAATATAAAAGATATATAAAAATAGTATGTACAAATAAATATTATCACATTAAATTGAAATATTCTTACCAAAAAATAAATGTACAAACATAGAGGAAAATAATAAAACTGACATCCAGTTGATTGAAATATCATCGAATTCTTCTCAAGAAGATTTTATCTATTTAGAAGTGGACTACATGATATAGTGAATACTATAGGTAAGAAACTTTGTTATATATGGTTAATTAGATAATACAAGTTTCTTTACTCACGTAATCATATTTTCTTTTTTAATAATTTAATTAAAATGGGTACATATGGTGAGCGAAGTGTTATCGATACGGGAAGTAAATACATTGGATGCATTTGTACGGAATGTCATTGAATTAGAAAAGAGTGATCATTGCATGTTTAGACAGCCTGAAATTGACGGATGTTCTAAAATAAACATTTATTAAGGATTCATTCGATTCTTATTACATCATTTCTTCATAACGTTCAGTCGATAAAGTAATTTTTTCTAGCAATAAATTATTTATTATTTATAACGATTAAACGATGTAATAGAAATGTTTTTCCAAATAAGAAGAATAATATGGCATAGTATAATTATAATCGTAATCGTAATCATTTAATATGCACTCTTTCGTATAAAATAATTAGGAAAATAGAGATAAGATGTTTTCAAATACGCAAAATTGTAAAAAACTATTAACCAATTTTTAAAATTTAGATATGACAGAAGAATATTCTATTCAAATTCGAGAAAAAATTTTATTGCATGAATTATATAGGACATTGAAATTGTACGATAGTGAAGAAATGAAGGCAGAAATCGGTAGTAATAACTTATATCTTCACTGTAAGTAAACGTTTTATTATGCGTGAAACACGAACACGTTTGTATTTACACGAAATTCCCATATAACTAAGAATTTGAATTATTAAATTCTTGTTTCGCGCTTAAGGCAGAAATAACCAAAAGAATGAAGAGGATGTCAAAGTGTAAGTATATGAATATGTGAAGGATGTCAAAGAGTAAGTATAAGAATGCGCACGATTATCCTTAAGAATTAAAGGGAAAATCTAATAATGTAGATGAATGAAAGGAATTTGGGAAAAATCTGATATTTGAATCTTGATGAAAAAGGTGGTTCACCTTTTCATAAAAAATTTTAGAATATAAGGATTTAGCTTTATTCAAGAAAAAACATATCGTATCGTTTAGAAAATGTTTTCGGATAAACGAAAATATTATATAAGGGAGCGTGGAATTGCATTGCAGATCAAATGTGACGAAATGAAACGCAAAGGAAATCTTACGTTAAAATTAACATTAATTCACAGCTAAAAAACAATGATGAACAGCAACTGTTGCACATCGCTGTCGGTCGTGGTGGATTAGGATTATGTGTAAGACAATCCAAGGATGATAGTAAACAATATGGGAAAGGTGCTACCCTCCCATCCTGAAAGATCAATTAATTCTGACTTATCGATTACCAGACATATAAATATTGCAATTGATAAAAAGAAAAATAAATTGATGAAATCTTAATTCCAACAAATCCTAATGTTCGGGATGACGCATATTTTATGTCCTAAAAAGTAGACTAAAAACATTTGATTTTTGGAAGAACTGGTAATACTGGCTGTAGATCGAAAAAAGAAGTTACGATAATGACTGATTTGGTGGCAATTGTAGTGATTGTTTAGCAGGAGGTGAAAGTGAATGTTATATGAGTAAAGATAACTCTTTCCTTTTACTAACAAATTCTTTTTAAAATTCTCAAGCTAAAAAAATAAATATAAATTTTAATAGAATTTAATTCAAATGATTTTGGATTCTAATAAAATTTGATATTTTTTATTTGATATTTTCGTCTAATAATTTATGTATTCGACAAATTTTAATTCTCATTTGGATTAACGAGTTGGAAGGAATTTCTTGCAAATTTAGATCATTTCGAAATAGATAACCTATTGTATTCTTAATATTATACAAAAAATAATACTGGTTAAACGTTTCTGTAAAGGTTACAGTGGATATTCTTATGTTGTTTTTATTCTACTACACGTTCACTTTCAGTTTATGAATCCTAAATCTGGTGAAGTTTACATAATAGTTACCACAAGAGGTTGTGGTTGCAATTTTCGTTGTGTTGTTCCTGATTTATATCTAACAACAAAGTTCTTGTGTCTACCAGCTTGGATCCTCAGCAGTGATTCCAGATCGTGTATCAGTAAGTGATACATTACTAATATTTAATTATCATTATTATGTAATCATTATTATTAAAAATAAATATTTTCTAACGGGAACTTAATATTATAGTCCCTGATAATTCAAAGGTTACCAAGCATTTATAATTTTGTTAATAATCGCTAGTACGATTTTATTACTGACTTTCACCGGATTTTGTCTGCTGCTTTGTAAGTAATTAAAATTCTCTTTCAAAGATGAAAATCGATATGTTATAATATCTAATCTTCATAAATTTTATTCCGTAAATAATCGCTGTCAGAACCGAAAAAATCTTTTATAATATCGGCAAGTGATGTTTGGAAATTGTATGAAGTTCACAGTCTTGGAAGCTATCTCAAACACGATGATGATCAAGTTTAATCCGAATTACGGATTCATTAGAAACGTATATAGTTTTATAGGTTTACCTCAGATTCTACGTGAATATATATATCTCTTTGGTGAAGTTAATATTTCATTTCTTTGGATAAAAGAATCATTCAATAATTAAATAAATTTATAATGCAAATAGACTACCTGAACAAAATGCTTTTGGTGAAGTCTTTCAAAACATAGCAACGAGCACTCAGTAGCTATTAAAATTCTACTCTCGTAAATAACATCCCAAGCTAAAGATGATTTCATGATGGAAGGCTTTATCATGAGTAAAATCAGACATCCCAACATATTACATTTTATTGGAGTCTTTTTCGACAGACACCCAGGATATATCGTATTAGAATTATTAGCTGGTGATGATTTGAAAAATTTCCTTCGTGAAGAAAGACGAAGACCGGTGAGTTAATCTATAATTTATGTGTCCATTTAATAAAAAGAAAAAAGGGAAAAATCAATTTATTTATTAACTTCATGAATTATTATCATCAGGATCGTTCTACTACGTTAACTATGTATGATTTGATTATCTATGGCTACAATGTTGCGAATGATTGTAAATACGTGGAAGTGACACGTTTCATATATCGTGATATAGCCGCATGAAATTTTTATATTCACCTACAAAGAATCTGATCGTATAGGAAACATCGCGCACTTTGATATAGTTAGAGATATCTATAAAAAAGATTATTACATGAAAGACGGTATAAATATGTTATCTATCAAATTGACGTCATGAGAAATTTTTCTAGATGATATATTTATTACGAAATATGACATCTGGTGAATTTCAATGACAATGTTTTTCAAGAAAATGATTTCAAACATTTATTATGTATTACTATTATTATTAACATTTTGATCCATAAAAAATCAAGTAACTTATAAATAAAATTTTATATCAGACTGATTTTATATCAAGATTAATTTTACAGCGTCATTTTAATAGATGATCTCTCTAATTTAAATAATGTTTATATTGTCTACATTTTACAGATACAAATAATAAATGATGTAATGATTTTGATTTGTAAGACTTTCTGTTTCCTTCTCTGGGAAATTATGTCTTTTGGATACATGCCATATATTAATCGTGCCAATCGTGAGGTAATGTCAATGCTAACGGCTGGTGGGGGAAAACGCTGGTTTGGAAAAGCCACCCGTTGGCCAGATTCAATTTACAGAATAATGACGCATTGTTGGCATCAATACCCGGAAGATCGGTCTAGTTTACTACTATCATTGAATCAATCAAGAATTGATTATTGTTTATAGATAGAGTATATTTTTAAGAAATTGAATTATTCAAATGACTTATTAAAAATGTATTATAAGGGCGAATTTTTTGTATGATTTAAAGAGTCTTTTGTTTATTAGGACCTCGACATAATAAACCACACATTTTACCAGCTTGAGATCGTGAAATAACAATTATGGAATCAGATCATGTAACTCATGCATCAGTGTGCATACAAATATGAGTTAGCTAAATAATATAGAATTTTTTTAAACAAAAAATATATACGCATTAATTGATATTACTAAATAAATAAAAAATATAAAATTCTATCGATTTCTTTAAAGATAACTTGATGATGATAGATGATTACATGCAATCTAAAATTAGCAAATAGAATTAGCAAAAATGCAAATAGAATTTTGTTTAGTGGCTTATCGCGTTGAATGTTACCGATAATATAGCTTATATGCATCAGAAGAAATACGAAAATGGATCTACGAACGATAATACATCTCGAATAAGGAATACTCAATATACTAGATTAGGACAGAATAATTGCTATAAAGATAATTCAAAAAATGTAAAAAATGATGATAGTCTCGAATACACTTGTACAAAAAAATTTTTACAATACTCAGATTAAAGTTCTAAGAACATATTTCGTAGTAAAATGGATACAAATACGTCATGGGTTGCGTTTGGGTTGTCAGTATATTCTGAGAGCATACAGTAGACTCTCACAGATCGATTATCTTTACTGTCACAAACGTAGCCATCATAATCCACCGAGAATTGACCGAACACAGCAATCTTCTTAAAGAACAAGTACCTTAATATACTATACAAGTACTATGAATATACAGTATTGAATTCTGTAAATTACAAATTATATTACAACCGCATAATAGTAATTGATAAGACAGTGCATTGCAATAGGCCGGATATTACATTTGTGTATAGTAAGATTTATGTATAGAAAGTCACATGTCCAATCGATACAGCTGTCCTCAATATCCATTCAAAACACATGCGATAAAAAAACATACCAATACACGGAACTAATTTTTGAATGTGGTATCGAAATAATTCGATTGTTCTTATTGATACACACAATTCAATAGTATTATCGTATCATTCATAGTATCATCGTAAATTTATAAACCAACTGATATAATTTCTTTTCCATAAAAGCAACGTAATAAAGCATCAAATGTAAAAGGAACCTCACAAAAGAAAGAAAGAAAGAAAGAGAAAAACAAATATAGACAATTTCACGAAACGTATCTTTTGCTGATCTAATAACAAGATTGTATCGTAAAAGGTCGATCATTATTTTATTCGTCATATTGAAAGTGCAAATCGCGTCATTTTCGTATCCTTTGAATTCTACCTTGAGGTGGAAATTCAAATACGAGCCGCTGCAAATAAACGAAGTCTCGTATATTTAACGAAGAGAAAAAGAGCACACGAGCTCTTCTTTACTTTTCTTACAAGAATAAGAAGAATGAAACAAAAATGTATCTCGTACACGTGTGTTTAGCGTATATGTAAACATCGCACTACATCGACCTTACCAAAAATCATCGTGTTTTCTTATGTACGATAATAATAAAGAAATATGTTTATGAAAAGTTTTGAAAAACTATCGATCAAACAAATTGAAATTTTTCATCTAATCGACTCATTATGCTATCAGGGAAACTTTTTATTTCTTTCTCTTTTTCGTCATCTTCTGCTTCCCCTGGTAGCTCTGACGCTTAGCGATGGCAATGACTATATATATAAGCCTATGAATATACGCATACACATTCGAACATTATAGCTATTCGGATAGCGGACGACGAAAGGAGTTAGCAGTTAGTCAGTGCCGATATAGGCAGACAAGACAAGGTACTTAGAAGAAGCTGAGGAAGAAAGAAGGGGCACGACGACGACGACGACGACGACGACGACGACGACGACGACGACGACGACGACGGTAACAAATTCGTGATACAGTTCTGTGTCAACTGTGAAACGCGTATGTAGAGTATTTTCGTTTCTCGTGAACGTGTCCAATTGACTTTCTCCTTTCAAGGCCATGATGAATTATTCTTATTACTACGTCAAGACCATCGATGATGGTAGCGAGAATCCAAAGACATATAAATTCTTAAAGGGGTAAGCTCCGAGGACAGAGACCGAAGAAAAATCATTAAACTGATAATATCAAGGAATTCGTTCTGGTGTGTGTATCGACGATACCTGATCTCTTTGTAGAAACACCAAACTACAAGAGACACCTAAAGATGTCTGGTCGACTATCGGAAGATATGAGCTTCGTTCGAGATTACTTAGAGGAGGACTTTCCGGTTCCGGAGACATTCATCATCCTGCCAATGTTACTTTCAAGGTCCGCCATCAGCGATTTTTCCTAGTATCAAATCCACTGTGTAGAATTAAGCTATTTTGACTAAAAATTTTCTCCATTCTTTGCGAATAATACGATTTGCTCGTATTATGATCTGCATAATATGATCTGCTATCCTTATTATACGTATTATAAATTTGTTTGTATATAGATATATGTATATGTATACATATATATAGGTATATGTACACGTATTATATAGATTATATAACAGAGATAAACAAAGTCTGATAGGAAATATTATAACTACATAACATTTATATACACACACATATATATATAGGAAGTTTTTTTATGATGATTAATCTTTCTTTTTTTCTTTTTATCCAGCTCTACCTTCTTGTATTTCTTTTTCTCTTCTTTTCTCATGTTTTTTCTTTTCTTTCTCTTTTTTCTTTTTGGACAACTTACTCGTTATCAATTATACATGATACAAAATATCAATGATTTTTCATCGTCAATTTTCGTTGAAGCGTTTCTACATGGCGATAGAAATAAGTCACATAGAACGGGCCATTAAATTTTTGGTATAAACTATGGTTAATGGCCGTTCTGTGGAGGCAATGAAACGAGGGAAAATCGTCGTTACAAAACATTACGAAGGTGAAATAATTTTAGCATTCGTTTCTTTTGCCGAAACGAACAGCAGACAAGATGTTATCTCGTTAATACTAACGAAAACTAACGAACGTATATAAATAAGTACAACATCACTGGGAGAATCCTTCTTTGATATATTGAATTCCGAATAAATAATTCAATCATCTGGGTTATCCCAATGTTAAACGAATTAAAGCATCAATTTGGTGCTTTAATAATATTTTTCTTCGTAGAACTTAATGAAAATAATTGTGAGTTTTCCGAATTCGTTTCGGAAGAAAACGCTAAAGATTTTCTTCGAATAATTTAAACTCATTACGCATATGTATAAATCTTGTGCTATAGAAGCTATAAAAAGTATATGTAGATAAGAAACCATCGAAGTTGTTCATACGTTTCGAATACGTGCTCTGATAAACGTTGATCCAAATTCTTTTCGACAAAAGCTTCGATCCCCAATCTTTTTTTTCTTTTTTTTTCATTATATGGATCGATCGGTAATAATTTGACACCCTATATAGATATATATATTTAAGTTTTCTTTCACGATCCCGAAATAGTATCTTTGCTCAGCATAATCTCATAAGAGCATCTCTTGCTCTTTGTCGTTTCAATTCAACGAAACCAAGTAGCAGCAGGAACATATAGTTTTCTTTGACAACACTTATGAATATATACATCATGTGGAACCACTGAACAGTTTTGAATGAAGACGAACTTCATTCGTGAAATACTTTCAAGTGCGTGTATATATATAATTTAAATAAAAAAAATATAAATCGTCCTTGAATGAAACTCTTGAAGGAAAAATTGATAACATTGAAAATGATTGGACGTTCACTTTACGAAGGACATACCATATAAAGAAACAATATAGTGTTTTGGGAAAACTGTAAAAGGATTTTATAAGCGTTAAGAAGAAAAAGTTGAACATATCTGAACATATAAGCCGAGTCATCCTCAGAATGATTCAAAGGTGTATGAAGTTAAAAACAAGATAGTCGTATATATATTTATTTTACAATAAGTGGGGATAAAGAGATTGTCCTTCTGGAAAAAGGAAAAACGACATCATTGAGTTTTTCTTTCGTGCTCCTTTCGAAGAATAGTCTTAGCTATCAAAGAAACAACGGCAAAAGAATTGTCATCGATCTATCTGTTTTACATAGAACAAAGACCGTATTTCAATAAGTGTTATAGGAGTATTCCTGTATGTGACTTGTGTGGTAGTGCTTATAAAAAACTGTGTCGACCTTACTTTAGTATCATTCGAGATAAGCGTCGTGAAGCGACGCTTTCTGACGTATCGGTATTAACATCGTCACGATAGAAAAAGAAACAGATCTTCGGTAACATAACATTTGATATTGTGCAACGAAACCACAAACATCTATAAGATCTAAGAGATTCTAGAAGATTCCAGTTCAATCACTTTGAAGAATTTTACTTCGTGCTTTGAGAAGAAATCAAACAAGCGTGACACACACCTCGGTGTCTAAGTGTAAAAAGCCGTTTATTGATTATTATAATTCAAGGTTGTAATAAGATAAAATCGAAAGTCATGTATAATAATTACGGAAAAAGTTCTTTTAATATTGGATGGAAACCAGAAGTAGTGGAACCAATGTTAGTACGGCAGCAAATGAAAGATTATGAAGTGAGTATAGAATGCACGTGATTAAATTTTGTAATGTGAATCATCTTTTACCGGTATGTATATACGTATTATACGACTAGCGAGCAGAACAATTTAATTACAAGGTCGTTTAATGGATTTCAAACTTTCCGCGCGAAAATATTTTTCCCGATACATAGCAACATATACAGTTGGAGTAACTCTAATACCCCCTCTTTTTCTCTTTCCTACTTTCTTGGCAACGAAGTTTGTCGAACTTAGCCGAATCAAACGCCAGGTATCGATCGACTCGTTTCCAGGCCCTAGGCTTTTCTCATTCATTTTTTCTTGTATTAACGAAGGAATAGAGTCAAAAAGTTATTATCGTGTAATTATATTTTCATTACATTCGTAATAATTTCTTTAACGACACTCCTGAGAATAGTAAAATAAAATTGGAACTAAAGTTTGATTTCGAATTACATGTCTAAAATATCGTCATTATGATTTTGAAGATTTAAAAATAAATATATATATATATTTTTTTTTTCGTTATGTATCAAAAACGAATTCGGAATTAATCACAGATCAGATACAAAAAAAATTTGTCCTAAATAAAATTAATTAACTAAATTAGAAAAACTTGGCTATACTTGGAAATAGAAAAATAAATAAATAAAAAAAAATAGAATAATGAAACCGAATAACGGAATATAATACTTGTCATTCTTGTTACGGACCTGGTTAAGCCGGTGGCCTGCCACGCGACTGAATAGAAGAAGCACGCATATCAAAGTATATAGAGAAATTCGTGATTTCAGTGTTTCTCTCGTTGAAAATTCGAGTCGCGTGCAACTGGAACGTCATAGGATCGACATAAGAACCGAACAATACAACAGCGCATAATTTATTAAGAGAAGAAATCTATAAAGATCGTTCGTATTTTGCGACGCATTGAGTCGCGTCATCGTCGTGTGTGACGAAATATGGGCGAGGACTATAGAAAAATGTCTAGTGTAGTGCCGGGAGAGAACGGAGAGTGCGTTCAAGCAATTTGAAAACATCTGCTCGTTCCATATCACGTTTCTTTCAACCTGCAATTTTTTAATAACCTTTATGTATTCCGCAAGGCCTTCTTACGTTATTTCGATGCAACTTGTGCGTTCTGGAAACAAGGTTAAATTTATCATTCGTGCTTAATATAACGAAACTTTTTACGTTTCTTTTCAATCGCATTCTTTTCGTCTTCGTATATAAACAGATATAAACGTTTTTACATATAAAAAAAAAAAAAAAGGAAAAACGTAAGTGTGTCTTCGCGAGTTCTAATAAGATCAAAAAGTGATAACAAAAACCAACATAATACAACAATGGATTACTATGGATGTAATAGAAACGTGCTCGATGACGTTTTTGTTAAAACGGCTGTCGAAGTGAAGAGGATATTACCATCTTTGTTCAATATCAAAGTGGTAGGCATTTTTCTATATATAGGATATAAGTAGAGGGGAGAGAGAGTGTGTGTGTGTGTGTGTGTGTGAGAAAGGAAAAGGATAGGGAGAATCAAATACAATTATCATTTGTAATAAAAAGGTTAGATTTTCTACATTAGACCTTATCAAATTTGCCGCCAATAGCGGTTTATGAAAGTGACGTTTTACAAATATAAATATCGCAGTACGACATGAGTTAGAACGATTATAATACAAGCATGTTCCTCCTTGGAATAACGTATGTCAGAGAATATGAATTGGACAATAATTGTAATGACGTTTTTTTCACGATCTAAACGATTACGTTGTTTTAATGAGATTCTTTTTTTTATAAGTCCCATTCACTTTGTGACGCATATTTAAAAATAACGGATATATGTCGATGGACTTGTGATTTATTTATTAATGAATCGTTATTATTTTTTTTTTCTTTTTCTAAATGCATAAGATGATTATATTAATCAATTTATTTATTAATTATTTTAGAGTATATATTTGTTTATAGAATAAAGAAAAGTTTTATTATTAATTTATTTAATTTATTAATATTGAATAAATTTTTATATTTAAATTTATTTATATTTATATATGTTTTAATTTTTATAATGGTTATTTATATTAATTAATTTATGTAATTGATAAAATAGATACTATTTAATAATTTAAATAGCTTAAATTAAGAGTTTAATATTGAAGATATTAAGGTAACATGATTGTTTTTAAATATAAATATAAATATAAATATAAAAATAAATATAAATATAAATATAAATATAAATATAAATATGAGTATGAATATGAGTATAAATATGAATAAATAAATAAATAAATTAATTAATTAATTAATAAATAAATAAATAAATAAAATAAATAAATTAATTAATTAATGAATAAATAAATAAATAAATAAAATAAATAAATTAATTAATTAATTAAATAGAAATAATTTATATTTATATAATATATAATATATATAAATGAAAATGAATAAATAAATTGCATTGCAAGAGCAGAAAATGATAAAAGTGTGAAGAGTTAATTATGCATAATTGGAGCACATACAAGAGTTAATAATTCGAAGGAAACATTTGAATGCAGCATTCATTTGACATATTGTGACAGTATGTATATATATGTATATATATGTATATATATATTGTACGTACCATGCATTATTTTAAATTCGATAATAAACACTTGTCTGGTTTATTGAAAAATAATACAATTGTTTGAGCTACTTTTGAATGTATTCTCAATACGATCGTAATTACATATTTCTGATGACTATAAGTGCGTACAAATACTATAGTTAATAAATAATATATCTTAATTAAAAAATATGATTACAATTAAAAAATATTTAGCAACGAATTTTCGTTATTTATAATAGATTGAACAAAGGACATTTGTGATTTTAATAAACGACTATTTCAAACAATAAAATTTTTATCAAACAAATGTCAAGGATATTATATATGCTGGTAAAATTATGAAAATGGCTGCTTTCCAGTAAATTTGTAATTTGTGAAAAAGAAAATAATTATTCTTTTATCATGTCATCAGATAGCAATTCAACAAGTTAATCTTGTGTAATGGTATAAAAGTAATATTCTTTACAAAATGTATATTCGAGTATATGGAGTTAAACGACCTATTTGACAGATATATTAATATGAAACATAAATAATGCTCCTAAAAAATAAAAACAAATAAGACAATTAACGTCGACAGGGTTAAGATAAATCGGGTTAAGATTAATTTACAAGCATATTAATTATTTATAATACTATGTAATTGTAAAATCACAAACTTATATTATTGTGTTTTTTGTAAACTTTTAAAAATTTTTAATATAATATTATAACTTTGACATTATATAATGTTTTTGTAGACATGACAAAAAATTGGGTTATAAAGGATTAAATGTAAATCTGGAAATTCAAAATATAAGGTAAGAAAACAAGATAATTATACAACGTTCATAACGGATCAGTTCATAAATAGTTGGTAAAACAAAAAAGACTCAGAACTTTTAAGAGAGAATAAAAAATGCAGCTATAAATATCAGTAAATTTATCAAAAATATTTTTAAGCGTTCAAAGCATTAAAAATTAAAAATTTTGCTATCAAAGAATACAAGAAAAAAAGGAGAAATGATGGAAATTATTTAATTAATTATAATTATAAGTATAAAATGGTAATGAATATTCGTTTCTACCAATTTTTTTTTTACTAAAATTCATAATTTCTAATCGTTACAAGTTACTTTTAAGATATACAATTAAATTTGAAAATGGTCTCAAAATTATTCAAAGTTTTAAAAAGTATATTTTTTTTTATAAACAACACATGAAACTTTACAACCAGGAAAAAGATTTACATTATAAGAGCAAGTATTTTATGAAATATTTTGATACATACTAAACGAATATTTTTTAATAAATCCATATATAAAACTCTAAATATCTCAAATCGAAAAATATATAATTTAACTCACTTTCACAATTACCAGTACATATATATTTATGTTTACATATTTTAGATGATCGGTTGAACCATTAAATGTCGATAATTGTAAAATTGTCTCTCAGGTACAAGTTAATAAATAAAAAAGAATTACGGAACATGATTCGTCTTCTTTATTGAAAAAAGTGATTGGTCAAAATTTAAAATGATATCGGCGCGATGCACGATGCACGATGCACGATGCACAATACACGATGCATAATGCTCGTTAACACTATCAAACTGGCCCAAATGATAAATTTTAGATTTCTATTTCTATAATTATCGAAAACATTATACGATGTTTAACAATATCGATAACATAAGATTAATATTAACTGAGATTTTTGATTATTAATTATTGTAAAATTAAATATAAAATAAAAACAATAACGAAGAAAGTGTTCTTTTAAAATTGAAAAACACGGAAATAAATTTTTAGTTGTGTTAATTAATAGCGGAAATTTATGTAAGTCTATCTTGCGGTCTCTTTTAACTTAACGATACTCTTAGTAGTGGTTAATTGCTATCCGGTTAATTGATATAACATTGCGATTTGTATGTATGATAATAATTCTCCATAGCATTCCTTTTATAATAGTATGAATTCGCATGTGTTCGGGAACGGTTTATGCGAATTATTATAAAGAAGTTAAATAATTAGACGAAAGAAAAGAAAAGAAAATGTCCGAAGTGAACAAAAGATCGTTATTATCAGCATCATGCGCGAATTATCGTTATTCGACATATTTGGAGGAAGGTGTAGCTGTGCTAAAACTTTCCCCGACACTTGAAAATGCCAAAAAAAATAAAAATTCATTGCAATCGACTAATATGTTGCTTCACATTTCGCAAACGAAATCGAACATATATTCGAAATTGCAATCGCCCTATCAACAAAAAAAGGATTATTTTAACAAAGTCGCCGCGGTACCTCCATTGAATTCCTCGAATATAAATTCATTGAAACGCGATTTAATCTATAATACTAATTGCGTTAAAAGTACAACGAATTTTATTGGGAAACGTTGTTACAACGTAAGGAGAACTACTTATTATATAGATGCATGATCAATTTATCGATTATTGATGAAATTATGAAAGTTGTCCATTTTTTTATTGTTTCATATTATTGTGTAGCATAAGTGTTAATAATTACATTAAATTGAATGTATATGATAATAAGTTAAATTTTTTTAGATTTTTGTATTCAGGCTATTTTCGTAATTATTAATAAAACCGTGAAATTAAATATTAACAGTGATTTTTTTCTTTTCGTTCATTAGCTCGGAGAAAAAGGTTCAGGTATCAGAGCACGCGGTGAGATTCAAGATTTTAACGCGTTAAGATTGGAATGTCTTCAAACCGGACGACTCTTTGAGGATCCAGAATTTCTAGCGGCTGATTCATCTCTATACTTTTCTAAAAGGCCGGATAGATACATAGAATGGAGAAGACCGATGGCAAGTATAACGAAAAAGAAAAAAAAAAAAATTCAAATTTTCTCTTGAAGTTAATCCTTAGACTGACGAGTTGTCGTTATAATTTGCAGGAAATCGCGGACGACCCGCAACTTTTTGTCGAAGGTTTCTCAAGATTCGACGTTCAACAAGGAGAACTAGGCGATTGTTGGTTACTCGCAGCAGTTGCAAATCTTACGATGGATTCGAATTTGTTCTTCCAAGTTGTACCAGAAGACCAAAGCTTTCAGGAAAATTACGCTGGAATTTTTCACTTCAGGTTAATGTTTCTTTCTTTCTATTTCATATTTCTCTTGAAATTCCGACAAATTTATTCCGTAATATCGTCGATCATCTTACATAAAAATATTCTAAGATTTTTAAGTAATATACTATATGTATCTGTGTTTTATATCTTCTTTAAAAATCAAACAAATTAATTTTCTGACCCTTATTTTGTTATCTTATTAAACGGAATAAAAAATGTTGCTTTATACATCTGTTGCAGATTTTGGCAATATGGTAGATGGGTGGATGTTGTCATCGATGATCGTCTACCTACTTATAATGGTGAATTGATATACATGCATTCCGCCGAAAGCAATGAATTTTGGAGCGCTCTTTTAGAGAAAGCTTATGCTAAACTTCATGGATCCTACGAAGCTTTAAAAGGGGGTACAACGTGCGAAGCGATGGAAGATTTTACAGGTGGTGTTACCGAGATGTATCAGATGGAGGAAGCTCCACCGAACTTATTTAGTGTCCTTTTAAAGGCATTCGAAAGAAATTCGCTTATGGGTTGTTCCATCGAGGTAAAAACAATTTTTTCGTTACTTTTGATATTTCAAACGGTCAAAGGCAGAGTATTTATATGCTAATAATTTTAGCCTGATCCAAACGTATTAGAAGCAGAGACGCCTCAAGGACTAATCAGAGGTCATGCCTACAGTATTACTCGTGTTAAGTATGTAGAAATTCAGACTCCAAATCAATATGGTAGAATACCGTTGCTCAGATTACGAAATCCATGGGGTAATGAAGCAGAATGGAACGGTCCCTGGAGCGATAAGTAAGTCATTATTATTTATATAACATTATAAATTAATTATTTATATACAGAATTTTTAAACAGAATTATTACACAGAATTTCAAATTGTTAATTTGAAAAATGAACTAATATATATATATTTTTTTTTTTTTTTTTTTTTTTTTTTTTTTTTTTTTTTTTTTTTTTTTAAGAACCGATTATTTTCGCATTTTTCGTTATAGTCTCCTTTTTTTTTATTAACGAAAGACTATTCGATGTTAGGTCACCGGAATGGAGATTTATTCCTGATCACGAAAAAGATGAATTAGGATTAACTTTCGACATAGATGGCGAATTTTGGATGTCCTTCCAGGATTTTACACAATACTTTACACAACTTGAGATTTGTAACTTGAATCCAGATTCCTTGACAGAAGGTGATATCAATGCCGGAAAGAAACGATGGGAAATGAGCGTTTTTGAAGGAGAGTGGGTACGTGGTGTTACAGCCGGCGGTTGCAGAAATTATTTAGGTAATCGATTGAATTCAACAATAATCTAGGAATGATAAATAAGTCTATTAATTATATCATATTTCTAGAAACGTTTTGGCACAATCCTCAATATCGAATAACACTGGAGTATCCTGACGAGGATGATGATAAATGTACGGTTATAGTTGCTCTGATGCAAAAAAATAGACGAGCTCAACGACGAATGGGTGCAGATTGTCTTACTATTGGATTTGCTGTATACTATGTGTGT